TAAACTCGAAGGCTATATACAGCTTCCAGCCTGAGGTGAGGGCTGAAGCTCAAGTTCTTGGGAGCAGACCTGTTTCCACCGCCCTGAGTCTCTACGGGGTGCTCAGTGTTTAAACTGAGAATAGAGAAAAGACAGACATATCCTCTGAGCTCCTCCCTTACCCTTCCTGTCTGGGCACAAGACTTCTCAGCTCAGGGCTGGCAGCAAGAACAGCTGTCTAGCCAACTTGTGATTTTAAAGAGATCAGTACTTAATATTCAGGCCATCCAGTATACATAGTGAGAGAGCTCAGGACCAACCTGGGCTACATGACAAGATCTGGTTTTTAAAAAGGAATCACAACATTGCCTACTTGTTAAGCATTTGGTGAACTATGGGAAAGAAGAAAAAACCAAACCTGTCTCCATCTTGCAGGTGTCGTGCGTGTCCACTCATGGGCACCCTCACCAGCCAGCGACTGTCTTCTTTACATGGCTGAGACATGTAAATCTTACTCTTCTTCTTATTATTATTATTACTCTTATTTTTGCATCATAGTATGTTTTTTAAAATTAATAACATAGCCTTTTAAAAACTGAATAAGTATTTTTGTTATACATATTTTAAAAACAAAACAAAAAAATGTACAAGGTGAAAAACGAAATCCTAATACTATTTGTCAAGTCTATTAGAAGTATAGAAAGTATAAAAGTATAAAAAGTATAAAAAAAAAGTATACTTTCTAAAAGTATAAAAGTAGCTTTTCCTTGTTACATTTCCACCACTGCTGGCCACTGTTCCCTGCCCCCGTCCCCCACTATGTATCAGTGGGGTGTGTGATACTTACCAAAATGGAACTGTGCCATGAATACACATGCCCAGCTTGCTTTCTTCCCTCTCACTAGTGTGTCCTGACTCTCTTTTTATAGCACAGGCGTTTTCTGGTACCATTAGAACACTATTTATGTGGTCTTTTCAAAGGCCATCATAAACATATAACCCATTAGAACACTATTTATGTGGTCTTTTCAAAGGCCACCATAAACATATAACAGCTCATCAGTTAGCTGTGCTCCGTTTTATCTAATCGCTTCTTTGAGTAAATATTTATCGATCTATTTTTTTTTTAATTCTGTCCCAAAGCCAAGTCAGCCTCATGGAGTCAAGATAAACATCTCTAAAGTTTCCTTTCCAGGAAGAGTTTGTGATTTTACGCTTACCCCTGGCTTAGGAACCTATGCAGTGACAGGGAGAGTGGGTGCTTCACAGTCCCTGGTGATGTCACAGGGGAGCAACCCCCAGCTCCACTTGTGTTTGTTTGCATGCTAGGAGATTTAATACCTTCGCGTAGTAACGGTCTTTGTGGGTTTTAGAATAAAGCTATTCTTTCCCTATTAAGATTTTTTTAAAAATGTGTATGGGTATTTGGCCAAATGTTTTATGTGTACCACCTTCATGCATGGTGCACACAGAGGTCAGAAGAGGGTGTTGGATCCCCTGAACTAGAGTTACTGCTCACTGTGAGCTGTCATGTGAGTCCTGGGAATAGAATCTAGGTCTTCTATAAGAACATCAAGTTCTCTTAACTGCTGAGTGTAAATAGAATCTCTTAGAAGCATCACTCTCAGTAAAAAGGCTATGAGCTGAGGCAGTTTTAGAAGGTGGAACATCTAGTGGGCGGGGGGGGGCGGAGACAGAGACAGAGAGACAAAGGCAGAGAGACACAGAGAGAGAGACACACACACAGAGAGAGGAATTCTGGGAAAGATTTGCATCGAACTCTGGAAGAGACAATCGCATAAACAGAAGAAGAGGTAACCAGCCATATGGCACTCATAGAATAGCATAAACAGGATAAATAGGTTAGGGACTAGTTGAGGAATAAGCCCTAGCTTTTGACCTAGGCAGTTATTAACAATAATTCACTCCCTATTTCTGGGAACAAAGTGGCTGGGTAGAAACCCCACATTTACAGCATGGCCGTCTTCCAGCTTCTCTGCTCCTCGTAAAGCAAAGCACTGGTCTCGAGCTCAGGTTCTCTGTCACTTCCTAGACCAGATCCTGGCAGCAGAGCTGGTGTTTTTTACAGATGAAATGAAGTCCTGTTTGCTGGTGGCACCCTTGTTCCCCCTAGTGCTCTGCCTTCAGCCGCAGCCCCTGTGATCTTTAGTTCCATCTCTAACTGTTTCATCCTCTTCCTTGGGGAAGTCTGAGGACAAATCAGAAAAACATAGGTGCTCCATAGATGAGATGGACCAGAACTCAGCGATCGGCGTGTGACTTGATAGAAGGACAAGTGTCAAACTCTGGACATGTTTAGCTAATGATGTGGATAGACCCAGTCCTTTAACTTTGGTCAGTGTATACCATAGAATATTAATCTAGGTTCTTCTTTGGTTTACCAGTTCTTCTATCTCCAGGGCATTGAAGATGCTTGTTTTATCCGTAGACCATTTTTCACATGGATTTTGTACCTGTGGCTCCTGACAGATGGCTCCTGGGTGGTTACTTCTTTGGATTCTCCTCCAGCGGTCACCTGACTTAGTAAAATTTCTTTTGTTCCTATGTATGTTGGCCCATATCTTTAATCCCAGCACTCAGGAAGCAGAGGCTGGACAAGCTCTGTGAGTTGGAGACCAACCTTGTCTACAAACTAAGTTTCAGGCTAGCCAGGGCTACATGGTGTGACCTTGTCTCAATTTTTTTTTCCTTCTTTTGTTGTGATTTTGTTTTTTAAGATTTTGCTGGGTAGCTCAGGCTAAATTTGAACTCCTGATCCTTCTGCCTCTGCCTCCAGTGTTGTTAAATATTTTTAATCCCAATTTGGAGTTTTTAATCTCACCTTTGATCATTTAGTTCCCTGATAAAAGATACACACCCCCTTTGTATTTATAATAAGCCTTAGTCAGTACAAGAACCAGACAGATATCTCTCCTTTGTGCTGTCATGTCTATTTCCTAGCTAATAATCCTGTTATATAATTTGTCATGTTTCGTATGGGCTGCTCTTAACTCCAGTTAGCCAGCCCACAGAGCCATTACTTCAAGATTCTTACCCCATAGCATCTTCTCCTTTTCCCCACCTACTCTCTCCTCCTACCCCAAGCCTAGGAACCCCAAACCACCCGCTCCGAGCACCCCCTCCCACCGCCTATCTTTCTATTCACCAATCAGGGATAACTTGGGGAGGGGGCAAGATTACATAGTGTCACTTGGCAACCAGGCCTTGGGGGCCAGTATTTAGCATTACAATACAAGAAAGAAAGAGAGAGAGAGAGAGAGAGAGAGAGAGAGAGAGAGAGAGAGAGAGAGAGAGAAAAAACCCTCAATCTCCTGAGTGCTGGAATTACAGGTATGCTTCAGGGTACCCAACCAGATTTACTACTTTGCCAATTTATGAGATGAAGATAGGATTTTATTGTGGTTCTAATTTACATTCTTTGATTACAGGTAGAATTGATATCTTTTATATGGTAGACATTAGGTTGCTATTAGTAACAAGATTATTGTGAAGATGATGTAACAGGCTTCTTCTGCTTCTTCTCCTTCGAATTCACAATCTTCCTCCTCCTTCCTTGGCCTTTTAAGTGCTGGGATGACAGACCTGTGCCACCATGCTTTGTGACGTTGTTGATTTTGCTGTCAGGTTAGGTCCTTGGCCCCAGGATCTTGACTTCATCCAGTGCCAAGAATTCATTAGGCTTTTAGGATTTCTAGGGGACTGTGGGTTGTCTGCAGTTTGCCACCAGAAGTGCATGGAGTCCTCAGCACTGTAGAGCCTCATCTGCATGCCCAGTGGAGGGGCTGTGTTTGAACTTCCGTAAGCATATGTCCTGGCTCTTCACACATTTGGGACAAAAGATGTTGATTGAGGATGGTTTTTTTTTGTTTTTTGTTTTTTTTTTTTGTTTTTTGTTTTTTTTTTTTGGTTTTTTCAAGACAGGGTTTCTCTGTGTAGCCCTGGCTGTCCTGGAACTCACTCTGTAGACCAGGCTAGCCTCGAACTCTTGAACTCAGAAATCCACCTGCCTCTGCCTCCCAAGTGCTGGGATTAAAGGTGTGCGCCACCACCGCCCGGCGAGGATGTTTTTCTTTTTTCTTTTTTCTTTTTTCTTTGTTTCTCTCTGTCTGTCTCTCTGTCTGTCTCTCTGTCTCTCTGTTTCCCTCTCTCCCTCCCTCTCTCCCTTTGTGTGTGTGTGTGTGTGTGTGTGTGTGTGTGTGTGTGTGTGTGTGTGTGTGTTGAGACAGGGCTTCTCTGGGTAACAGCCCTGGCTGTCCTGGAACTTGCTTTGTAGACCAGGCTGGCCTCAAACTCACAGAGATCCATCTGCCTCTGCCTCCTGAGTGCTGGGCCTAACCTCAGTCAGGTTCTGCCACGCCGAGGATGTTTTTCTAATCAGTGTTTCAGCCTTATAGAATCAGAAGTCTAATCTAAGAGTCCATGCTTTGAAGTCCCGTACCCCAGACCACACCATTTGCATCAAGAGAAAATACAGCACATCCTTGCCTTGTGGCTTTCTGTAGTTACTGTTTTATAGCATTCTGGTAGGTTGTCATGGGTGACAGGAGAGACTGCTGCCAGTGCCTTGTGCTAGTGTGTGCCTCTCTAGCCTGTCACCAAGGTTCACAGACATTTTTCTGAGCATCGAGGAGGTCCTAGAAGGACATGTATGGTGAATCTCAAGTTGGCTTCAAGTCTCTCTGTTAAATAGCACCAGCCAGGGGACCTTCTTCCTGGACTTGGTCTGCTTTTTGCTGAGGGCCACACTGTCCCCCACTATGTAGCCTAGGCTGGGGTCTAACTTGTGGTGATCCTTTTGGCTTTGCCTTCAAATGTTAGGATTACAGTTGCCCAGCACCACGCCCATCTAATATCACCCTTTAATTAAAAAAAAAAACAACTCTCGCTCACAGTTGGCATTTCCTATGTGTGGTTAGAGTTAGGGCCTCTTTTTTTAAAAAAGCTATCTTATTAAATATTAACCTTTTTCCTTTTAACCCATCTTCCTGTTTTTACTTCAGGCAGGAAGTTAAGAGGAAAAGCCTTCTATTTTGTCAATGGCAAAGTATTCTGTGAGGAAGACTTTTTGGTGAGTATTATCACACAGACTGTGTGGGGTGAGGGTGGCTTAGGGCAGGAGCCTGAGAGGTCCAGATGGCAGGAGATTGTTTCTCTGTACTCCTGGTACTACTAGCAGAAGGCCATTCCCTCCTCATGCATGTCTGAGTAATCTGAGTCCTGAAACAGAAGACAAGCCACAGGCTTTATTCATGTATACATGTGCCTCTTTCCTAACCCATGTGTGTGTGTGTGTGTGTGTGTGTGTGTACACATGTGTGCACCCACACACACTCATTAGAACACGGATTCCAGGCCTGTCTCCAGCTTACCATATCTGAGATGGGTCCCAATATGTTCCTTTTGTCTCAAGTTTCCAAGGATCTTGTCTTTGGGAATCTTTTTTTTTTTTTTTTAAAGATTTATTTATTTATTTTATTATGAGTACACTGTAGCTGTCTTCGGACACACCAAAAGAGGGCATCCAATCTCTTTATGGATGGTTGTGAGCCACCATGTGGTTGCTGGGATTTGAACTCAGGACCTCTGGAAGAGCAGTCCGTGCTCTTAACCGCTGAGCCATCTCTCCAGCCCCTTTGGGAATCTTTGAGTCAAGGAATTAACACCTCTCTGTGTCAGAGTTTAACATGGTGAGGGACCCAGATACAGGTAGGTGCTGCACACCCTCAGGGGAACCACAGGTTTCTGAGGAATCCTTCCTTCTCTCTGCTGGTGGGGGGTGGCTGACTCATCTTTCTTGTCTCTCCTCAACAGTACTCTGGTTTTCAGCAGTCTGCGGACAGGTGTTTTCTTTGTGGACACTTGATCATGGACATGGTGAGTAAGCGTTGGTCAGGGAGCCCCTTGGAAAGAGGCTAGAAAGACATTAATAATTGAACACAATGTTTTCTTTCTGATTCCGGTCACTGCTGGTTTTATTTAAAGAAGTTCTTGTCTGGTGCAGCCAGTTCCTCTCTAATAGAAGCTGTTGTTGGCTTGGACCAATGCAATTGTAACCATGCACACTGCTGTGATCCTGCTTACACTGGCCTACTGGCTTCTCTGTGGTCATTGGCTTTCCCAGTGAGGTGCTAGGACCAGCCTATTTCACTTACAGAAATCTCAACCACCTGGGAATCAGGTACAGGCAGATGAATGTGGTTGTTATTTTCTTCCAGCACAAATCATTCCTAAGATGCATCACCATATGGTGCTAGATTTGTTTGTTTGTTTTGATTTTTTGAAACAGGGTCTCACTCTGTAGCCTTGGCTTTTCTATATGAACCAGGAGGGTCTCAAACTCATAGAGATCTACCTGCCTCTGTCTCCTGGGTACTGGGATTAAAGGCACATTCCATCCTGCCTGGCCTGGTACTGGGTATTGAACTCTGGGCCTCATGGATGCTAGCCAAGCACTCTACCAACTGAGCTACATTCTCAGCCCTTATACATGTCTTTGATGAACGTGCTTTCTTTCTGGTTATACACTAACGTTTATAAAGCAACAGTGAACAGAACTTTCCGTGCTTACGTGGAGTACCTGCTGCTGTTTAGGCCTTGTATACGGAAGAGCTTAGCCCTGGGACAGCTGTGGCCTCATCACTAGCCAAAGCTTCCCTGAGTGTCTTAATTACTCTTCTGTTGTTGTGAACAGACACCATTACTAAGCAAACTTATAGAAGAAACAGTTTACTGAGGCCTTATAATTCCAGAGGGTGAGTTCATGGTTATCTTGGCAAGGAACATGGCAGGCAGGCACAGTACTGGGGCAGTAACTAAGAGCTCACATCCTCGTCCAAAAGTAGGAGGCAGAGAAAGCTAATTGGGAATGACATGAGATTTTCAAACCTCAGAGACCACGCCTTCTAATCCTTTCAAATAGTTCCACCAACCAGGGCATTCAGATATGAGTCTATGGGCCCATTCTCATTCAAACCACCACACTGAGGAGTGTGTGTGTGTATGCGTGTGTGTATGCATGCAGGCAGGAGCCATACCCCTCTACCTGTGTAAGAGTGATTCCAAGCTTTAAAAGGGAACTCTCATCTGCTGCCAAAAAATTTTAATAATACAGAGTCCTTTAAAAAGACATTTATAATTTTTTTTACTTCTTAAAATTATGTGTGTCTGAAAAGTGGTATGTACATGAGAGCTCAGTTGTCCTTGTGTGTGTCTATGTGCATCTCTGTGTTAGTATGTGCACATGTATGTGAGTGCCCATAGAGGCTAGAGGAGGGTATCAGAACCCCTGGAGCTGGAGTTACAGGTAGACCGTGAGTCACCAGATGTGAGTGCTGGAAACCGAACTCAGGTCCCCTGTCTTAACTGATGAGCCCTCTCTCTTGTCCCAGAAAAGCTCTAGATACCCACTTAGCTGTATAGCAGAGGCCCAGCTATCCAACTCTGTATAAACTGTCTGAAAACACCGTGTTAGTAAAGGAGTATATTCTGAAATAGGTCCTGTTACTCAATGCCAGAATTTTAGAAGCCAGGCAGATTGTAGCAAAATGGCGTCTTCTTTCATTTGACTTTAGGTGCAGTGAGGGTTAAGTTAATCTAAGGATCTCTTTTTGCCTTTGAGAGGAAGTGCATTCCCATTGCCAAGTGGACTTTGGAAGCCTGGCAGTTGTTTCTCTTCTTTGGCATGTTGCCAAAGGGGTTTAGAAGTAGTAAAACCCAGTAGGGAATGAGGAAGTCTGAGATCCAAGGTAGGATAGCAGAGTAGTCCTCCCGTGCTCCCTGGCTGAGATGTGTGGTACCACTTATCTACTCAGACTTCCAGTGGAAGGGCCTGGGTTGTAGCACGTCTTTTCCACAGTCTTACAGTGTTCTGCAGAGCTTGCCTGAGTTCCAGGTCCCCTTCCTCAGGCCTGTTTGAAGGCTTTCTGCATGGCTTAGTATCAACTGTTGAATTCTGTGCTGTGCTCCCCGCAGACTGGTATTGGGTGCGCCTGTTCATGGTGATGTCATAGTTCTGTTATTTTTGCTGTTTCATGACCCAGGTAATTGCAGAGGTAAATCTCCCACTGAATCACCAAATATGCTTTTAGCTACAAATTACAGAAATCTCTTACTCTAATGGCATGCATCAGATCATCTTAAGACACTGATTGCTAGACATTACGCCCAGTGATTCTGAATGAGGAGGTCTGGGGTGGGGTCTGGGAATGTGCTTTTTTTTTAACCAAGTTCTCAGGTATGCTAAGGTTGCAGATTCAGGGATTACACGTTGAGAATAGGACTGTACAGCCATTCCCAGTGAGTTCTGTTACTGACCATCTGACCTCACCAAGGATGTGCTTTCCTTCTTGTTTCTTCTCCTTCTCCCCCTTCCTTTCTTCTGTTTTCCCTTTCTTCTCTCCTCCTTCCCTTTCTCCCTCTCCCCTCTCCCTTAAACCTTCTCCCCCTCTGCTCCCCCTTCTCTCTCTCCTTTCCCCACCCCTCTCCCCATGTCCCCTTCCCCTCTCTCCTCCATCCTGTTCCCCCTTCCTGATCTCCTTCCCTCCTCCTTTTGCCTCTTCCCTCTCCTCCCCTCCCCTCCCCTCCCCTCCCCTCCCATCTCTCATACCTCCTTCCATCTCCTCTTCCCTCCCATTCTCTTTCCTGTCACTGTTCTTCCCTCTCAACACCATCTCTTTCCTTTCCTCTCCCCTCCTTTTCTCTCCTCTCAATCCCTTCTCTTCTCTTTTCCCCTCCCCTCATTTTTCTCCCTCCCCTCCCCTCCCTTCCCCTTTCCTCTTGCCCCTTTCCCCTCCCCTTCCTTTCCCTCCTCTCATTTCTCTGTTTGCCTCTACTCTTCCTTCTGTGTCTTGGTTGTTTTTGTTTTGGAAGGTCCCTGGTGGTTCAAGTTATCATATCCAAATCAAATGACACTGAGAGTAGGGAGGCTGTTGGGGCTTTCCCTGTGTTGTGTTTTAAAAACATGGACAACAGCAAAGGAACTTTGTCTATTATACTTGAATTTGATTGATCAGGGCTCCAGCCAGGCCTCTAGGTTGTCACACTGCAGAATCTAAGCTGCGTGGAACGGGTACCAGGAGTCAATATGAAGAGGTTTTATCCAAGTTCTCCTAGCTCCATATGGATGTTCTTTCATTCTTCTATATACTTGCTGCTTTCCGTAGCAGGGGTAGATTCTTTTGTGACCAGCTTTAATTGATTTATCGCTGTTTCCCAATGTTCTGGTCCCAGGACAGGCCGAGCCCTACCTAGCATTGCTTTTTAGGAAAGAACAAGTTTCTCACTATGAGAGAGGGATCAGACAGGAGTCTCTTTATTTCCTCCCAGTCAGCAACTGAGAGACCGCATAGGCCCCTCTTTGATCCTCTCCTTGTCCATGTCTAAGCAGACTAGCCCTCTCTTAACCTTTGTCCAGGCGAAGCTCTGCGCTAGGTGGAGTCTGTGCCATGGTGCAGCTGTGCGTTAGGCTCCGCAACCTCTGTGTTCCTCTTTCTCCGTGTCTCTCCTTCCTTTCATCTCTGTGAGTTGTTGTCTTTGTGTCTTCAGATCCTACAGGCCCTTGGGAAGTCCTATCACCCTGGCTGTTTCCGCTGCGTCATCTGTAATGAATGTCTGGATGGGGTTCCTTTCACCGTGGACTCTGAAAACAAGATCTACTGTGTCCGAGATTATCACAAGTAAGGAGAGAGGAAGGGAGTTGATGGTAACCTGTACACAGGCCCCACTGAGCTCAGCAGAGTGAAAAGTATGTAGAAACTGTATTAAAACGTGTTTGTTGGTAAGGCAGAACACAGAATGGTAATCAGAGGAATCCAACAAGCCTGTAGCCCCAGCTTTACCTAATTTCACTAGGCACCAAGTCAGGCTGAGCCTACCAGCCTCTGCTTGTCAGACCAGCCCAGGTAACTGTGCAGGGAACCAACAGCAAGTTTCATCTTATTCCTAAAGGAGCGGGAGCCAGCCAGATGTTCCTGTAGCAGCCAGGAATAGTCTTGATATTCCAAAGAGTGAGCCTAGCTCCACCTAACCCTGAGTGCTGGCCATGAGGGCCTACTGGCAGGTCCTAGTTACCACTTATACTCTGATTACAACACAATGTGCACCGTGTGCCCTTTGTTCCTCCCTCAGGGTGCTGGCCCCCAAGTGTGCAGCCTGTGGCCTTCCCATCCTTCCACCAGAGGTAAGATGCTTTTCTGGTTCTACTCAGAGGGCTTCAAAACACTGGACCGTCTCCCTTGAGTCACTCAGAAGATCTGCAACCTGTTCTTATACCTTTCAACAAACCCTCCAATGCCCAATACTGTCCCTTTCTCCTGGGCTGCCTTCCTAACCCCATGTGCTTCTTGGGCCTGTTTGTTCCAGGCCAAACTCTTGTAGATGAACAGAGGAATAGAAAGCTTGTCTTTTCTTCATCTCTAAAAAATAAATAGCCCTGAAACCCTGCCTCAGTGAATAAAATAGAGAGTGAAGGAGGAAGACACCAAACATAAACTCCTGGCTTTCACATGCGTGTGCATACAAGTGTATGTGTTTGCACACATGCAGTCATTCATAAATACTTATGCAAAAAATTCAATGAAAAGAAATGTCCCATTGGTCTTTTTTGTTCAGTGTCATCTGATATCCTAGACGATCACATGGCCCCACCCACTCTCACATCTACTGAATCTGGTCTTTTTCCTAAAAGTGTCTAGTATTCACTATTGATTTATGTCCCTCCCTCAGAGCCTCCCCCTATTCCCCAAAATCTCTTCTCACCCCGTTCCTTTGTTGGCAGTATCCCATGGACTTATAACTGGCCTCTTTGCATGCATGTCTTGCTTTTTTTTTTTTTGGTCCTAGGGCTCAGATGAGACCATCAGAGTTGTGTCCATGGACAGAGACTACCATGTAGAATGCTACCACTGTGAGGTAGGTCCCTCCATGCCCAGCCCTAAAGCCTACTTTACAAAGGCCTCTTGGGTCATGGGACTGAAGTGGTCACCACGTTCTCTCTGAGGTCTGTCCTTAAGAGCTGATTATATGGGGGTGATAACAGATACTTGGTGTGAAGGTGTATGCCATTTTTTTTTTCCAAATTCAAAATGAGAAAGTTCTGAAGCTTGCAATTGCTACCCTGAAGTTACAGAGCTCAGAGGACTGTGTAGTGTGGGGTTCAAGGTTACACTGTCACTTACATATATAAGGGTAGGGGGAAGAAGTGTCTTTCCCTCCTGGGTGCAGAGTGTTCCGTCAGAAACATCTGTCAGAACTGAGCCCTGAAAATCATGAAGAAACCCCTTTTGGAAATAGGGACGTGAATTGGTGGGTATTAGGGTGAGGGGGTGGGGAGTGGGGCTTCTCTGACCTGTGGGATATCCTACATTAAAAAAACAAAAACCAACCAACCAAACAAAAAACAACATTCAGTGCCTCTTGACTGTCAGAAAAGCCAGAGGTCATGTTGCACCAATCTTCAAATTTCAAGGTCATCCTTGACTACAGAGCGTATCTAGCCTGGGCTACATGAGACACTATCTCAAAAGAGTGGGGATGTGTGGGATTAATTAACCAACCAACCCAAAACGATTTGTAGTATTTCAACTTGTAGTCCATAAAAACCACTCTTGAGATAGTTTTCTATCTTCTTTGGGTCTTCTGTCTTGGAAACCTGGTGTGTATTTGTTCTCAAGCTACGTCTCCGTTCCAACCAATCAAATTGGAAGAGCTCCATGGTGGCAGGTAGCCACTGGCTTGTTCACAGGATAGGAGCTACCTACAATCAGGAAGCACCCTTTGGTGATTGAGTGGATTGTGATTTCATGTTACTCTTGCAGTCTGCTTTGTTTTTCTGGAACATTCTTGCCTCCTTGCAGGACTGTGGTCTGGAGCTTAATGATGAGGACGGTCACCGCTGCTATCCACTGGAGGACCACCTGTTCTGTCACTCCTGCCATGTCAAGAGACTGGAGAAAGGGCCCTCACCTGCACCCCTCCACCAACACCGCTTCTAGCAAAGGGACACAGTGGGCATGCGGGGACAGCCTGCCTGGGAGGTGTCTGTGTAGCACTTCTGAGCTCCCCCGCAGCTAGGGCACAGGAAGAGGAGGGACAGGAGGTAGAGTTCCTGTGTGTGTGAAGGGTGTCTTTCTTTTAACCGCAGCAGTGTGCACTCCTCATCCCGTCCATGTGTTTTCCACGTGCTTTTCTCTATTGCCTCTCACTCGCCAAATCACTCAGGAAGATGCTCCAGCTTGCACATGCACCTGACACAAGATGGGGCCTGTGTAACTGGACACATCCTACTCCCTGGAAAGCGGGTTTTCAGATTGTGTTGAGCACATTCCACAGTGTCCCTAGAGAAACTGACGGAGGTGAGCAGTACTTCCCTCCTCTAGGAGAATGCCTGCACCCAGATAACCCTCACACAGCCTGTGGCGTGGTTCAGTCCACATCAGAGCTTTAGTTCTTCTGAGAATGCTTTGAACATTTGACTGTGTTACAGCAAGAAAGAGGCACTGCTTTGTGCCGTGGAGTTTGCTTGGTAAAGGAGAGCCAAGCTTAGACATCTGGGAGGCTGGGTCTCCCTGTTGTGCCTCTGTCTTTCCTCCTGCACCTAAGACAGTGGAGCTGGGGCTCAGGGCTGCCCTGTCCTATACAGCCAGCTCAGAGAGAACTGGTGCAGGCACCAGGCTTCTTGTTCACGCTCGGTGCTGTGTTTTCATTGCTTCCTCCAGTCTGTGGCATTAGAGTTGCTTCCTCAAGGTGAGTTTGAGGATCTCATGCCTTCACGTCCCTGTCAACGTTTTCAACTTATTTGAGCATGACCGTTGGGAATTCCATATCCTGGGAGAGAGCTCCTTCTAAAAGGAAACTTTTGTGTGTGAGATCTCAAAGCTAGCACCAGAGGGAGTGCCTGAGCTTGTTTCAAAGGTGTCTCTCTTGTGCACAGACGTTCATTTGGTTTGAGGAAACCAATACAAGGTACACTGCTTTAGTCTGTTTTTTAAAACTTCGTTATTTCTCTCTACCTTTGTCCACACACAAAACATACCTCACAGATAGTTTTCACCAAATCACTGATCAAAGAGGAATTCATCATATTGGAGACTGTTGGGGTATCAGCAGTGGCCATTTTCCAACTTGACTACAGCTAAGCAGTATAGTCGCAACACAAGGTCTTCTGAGACCAGATGCAACTGAAATCAGGCCTTGTGCCTCTGCATTGCTGGCTCCTGAGGTAGCCAGGCTAAGAGGGAGACAGGGTGCTGACAATGTTAGGACCGCTTCTGAGGTGGATATGTGGACATACCTGTCCTCCCAACATTTGAGAGGCTGAAGTTTGTGAAGTAGGAGATTAGGTCTGTCCTCAACTACATGAGGCCATGACCTCACTCAAAAAAGAAAAAAACTTAAAAAGAGAAAGGAAAAAAGCAACAAAAACCCACCTAGCACTGAAGAATATAATTAACTTTGCCTATCACTTCCTGAGGCCAGAGGTCAGTGTCTCCTTGGAAGTTCAAATGGGTAAAACTGGAAAAACAACAATGAAATGGGTTTCCACCTGCTGTCTTATCTTCAGGGAGCGCCCCATGACTTGTGGCAGGAAGGCTGGAGTATCTCACTTCAGCAGTCAGGCTGGGTACCCAGCAGCTGGCTTGGGTGGTGAACCATTGTCCCTAGAGCCTCTGCCACGTGTGAATGTGGACTCCTTACTAGGCCTCGGCTACACCTGTAGGCTCTTGCAATCCTGCTGGCCTCCATTGCCTGTGAGAAGCTCAGGACTAGGACTGTGGACTGGGACCATCTTTTTCATTTTTATAAAGTTCCTTCTCTTGGGGTCCTTTGGCCAGACGTTACTAGTTTCCTGTTCTAGACAGAGCTACTTAAAAAATAAAGCTATGGCTATATGGGTCAGCAGAGATAGACCCTGAGGCTAGCCATGTTTTTTCTCTTGTAGTTACCTAGGTTGGCTTTGGCGAGGCTGGCAGGGAACGAGAAAATATGTCTTTGCCTTCACTGAGGCTCTGGTATAGTCTAATTTTGAGTCAAGATGATTGATGAAAATTGCATTGGAATTAGTGTCAGAAGAAGATGGGATTTGTTTATAAATTGGATAATTTAAAACTCTGTGATTAATTTTTAAATGAAATTCCTGATTGAGGTGATTCAGATCTGTTTGCAAATTTTATATTATCGAAAAAGCAATAAAGGAATTTGCAAACTTCCCAGAACCCCTAAGACTGTCTTCTTCGACTGTTTGCTGGAGAAGGTACCACTAGGGGTCTCATATTCTTTGGTTCTTCTATCTCAGGCCTGTGCACTAAAACATGAAGATATATTCACTTATCTGGGGTTATAAACGTTCTATAAATTTTGGCCAGATAGAGCTGTAAGGAGATTATACTTATAGGTATGTAAGAAGAGAACTCAGGGAGTTGGTAGGGAGACTATACTTTGAAAGTTAGAGCAAATAGCTTTTTCAAGATTCCTGTACAACTCTTGTACCTTGGATAAAACCAAGGAGATGGGCTGCTATCAGTTCCAGGGCTAGCCTCTGCCATCACCCTCCTCATTCTGACCCATAGGTTTCAGAAGAGCCTTCAGCCTTAACAGAGTTATTAGCTACATGTTAACTATGACAGGACTTTCCATTCTCCTTGCTAGTGCCTAAGTGAACCCCTTTCAGCTGAGTCCTGTGAGGGTCCAGTGTTGAATCCCAGGTAGCGGGCAGAAGAACAAAATGGTTTGAATACTTTCGGTACTGCCGTGGCTCTGTATAGCCTTCAGTCACACAAAATGAAAATCAGATTGTTAAGATTCAGAATCCACAGTCCTTTGTAGGCATTAAATACTGTTCTGAGTACCCTTTTCTCACTCAGTGAAAGTGCTGTCTACCAGTTAGAACCCTTGCAAAGAATAGTGTGAGGCTTGACTCCAAACTCTGGTTGCAGAATACACTTATAAGAACTCTCGGGCAGAGAGAGTATTCTGTCAGTAATGTGCTTGCATGGGGACTTGAGCCCAGTTCTCAGAATCCATGTAAGAATGTCAGATGCAGTGGTGTGGGAAAGTGGGGGCAAGTGAGGTACTGGTAGGCTAGCTTTCAGAGGAGAGAAAAAAGTTCTGATATGAAGTTGTCTTAGTTAGTGTTTTACTGCTGTGAACAGACACCATAACCAAGGTAACTCTTATAAAGACAACATTTAATTGAGACTAGCTTACACATTCAGAGATTCAGTCCAGTATCATCCAGGCGGGAGCATGACAACATCCAGGCAGGCATGGCAATGGAGGAGATGAGAGTTCTACATCTTATTCCAAAGAGAACCAGAAGACTGTGTCCCACGTGGCTAGGAGGAATCTTAAAGCCCACACCCACAGTGATGCACTTCCTCCAACAGGGACACACCTACTAATAGTGCCACTCTCTGGGCCAAGCATATAGAAACCATCACAGAAGTGTATGCTTGCTGGGCAGTGGTGGCGCATGCCTTTAAACCCAGCACTTGGGAGGCAGAGACAGGCGGATTTCTGAGTTCGAGGTCAGCCTGGTCTACAGAGTGAGTTCCAGGACAGCCAGGGCTACACAGAGAAACCCTGTCTTGAAAAACCAAAAAAAAAAAAAAGAAGTATATGCTGGTTTCTATCTCATAAATGCTTCTGTCAGTATCACTCTACCATCATGACACCCTAGAACTTGGAGTGGGGAGTGGTGGCATCATCATCATCATCACCATCATCACCATCATCATCAAATACCAGCTGCCCTCAGGCATTTGAACACTTTGGAGCCAAGATAGTGGAAGAAACCTGTTCAGCCCCATGACTGAAACAGTACTGACAGTAACTCCATCGGGCATTATTCTAGACACCCTATGTTCTTTACCATTCCTCTTCTTATAGACAACTAAGACATGAAATGGGAAGTAACCCTCCAAAAATGAATGGCCAGTAAACAGTAGGACCAAGACCAGGCCATTCCAGACAGCCATCCAGAGATATGTCTTGACCCCTCTGGCTGCCGGAGCATGAGTCAACGTTTATGGTATTTTTCAGCTTGTCCATAAAACCTCCTCATGACGCTACGAGGAACACCTAGTCATTGTTCTCTGTTGGGGTTTGTATTGGTTCCCATGATATTCTAATATACTTTAGAACACAAATGTATTATAGTTCTGGAGAAATGGCTCCTACAGGTTACCCACAGATCCTTTCAGAGATGCTAGGGAAGTTCTGCCTCCAGTATTACTTCTCTCGTTGCTGTGACAGAATGCTTGGCAGAAGGAACTTAAGGGAGGAGAGGTTTATTTGGGTTCATGACTTCCAGGGACACAGAGAAGGCACGATGACTGGTGACTCAGGAGCACTGGAAGCGTGAGGCAGAAGTGCTTGCCATCCTGACAGTCACAGTGTTCAGGAAGAACCAGAATTGGATTACCCTCAAGGCCTGCTCCCAAGGACGGACTTCCACTTGCTAGACTACAGTACTACTGATTCCACAACTTTCCCAAACAGCGCCACCTACTGGGGACCAAGTGCTCAAACAAGTTTTTCAGCTCAAGGGCTTTCCTATTCGTGGCTGGGGCCATACCACTCTGAGCCTCCTCCTTGTAAGGATTGAATGAGTTTGGGGATTATATTGGGTGTATCCAGATAATCTAGGATCATCTCCCTATCTCAGGATCCTTAATCTGAAATCTCCTTTTGCTTTGCACAATAATATAATCATAAATCCTGGGTATTAGGACATAAACATTTTGGAAGGGACTATTTTTCAGCCTACTTTGGGTTAAAACAAGTTTCTATGGGGATGGGGTGGGGCTATGGGTGGAAATGAAGTAATATCCATGGGACAGAAGATGATTTTTCTTCAGGCAGTGCTAAAAGTGAGTTTCCTGAAGTTGACTGGGTATGTACATGTATCCACATGATTGTCTTCTGAGTGTCAAAAAAGGTCAGGGGTCATATACTGTTGGAAGGTCTCATTCAGAAGGGCTTGGGTATGTGGTACTTCCTAGAGAAGTCCAGGTAATGTGGTTCCCCCAAGTGTGCCAGACAGTCTAAGGCTCTGTTACTGCTAGGTTACATACATGTATCACCCATTGAGAAAGTCTTGAAGACAAATGGCTAGGGCATAGTATGTCATACAGAGTGGAAGGTCCACAAGTCTAGGGACTCAGTAGGCAGACACTGCAGTGCAAGGTTGGCGGCAGTCATGCTACTAATCTGTAAATTAGACTATTAATCTACCTGGGGATGTACATTTTCTAAAAAGCTATATGCACATAAGATACACAGACACACTACAAGGGAATTTGACTAAAGATGCAAATTTGTGTTTACTCACCTTTAAGAATTTCTGCCAGGTAGTGGTGGTGCACGCCTTTAATCCCAGCACTTGGGAAGCAGAGACAGGCGTATTTCTGAGTTTGAGGCCAGCCTGGTCTATAGAGTGAGTTCCAGGACAGCCAGGGCTATGCAGAGAAACCCTGTCTCGAACCCCCCCCCCAAAAAAAAGAAAAGAAAGAAAAAAGAAAAAAGAATTTCTTATTCTGAACATGCTTGTTTGAGGACCTGATTTCGGTCTTTAAAAATCTCAGAAGAGGGCTGGAGAGATGGCTCGGCTGGTAAGTGCTTTGATAGAAGATGAAGAACTGAGTCTGATTCCCAGAATTCATATAAAAAAAAATCCTAGGAGTGCTGGTGCACACTTGTAATAAGCATGCGCCAAGAAAAATGAGGTAGATGGGAACTGAGAAAAATCACCTGATCTTTGACCTGCACATGCAAATGTGCATATGTGCACGTGCACAGATACACACAAGAGAATGCCTAATTCTGTCTGAATTACTCTCCATCTATCAGTCTCATTGCGAGTTCACAAAAGCCTTATTAGTTAACTCATGAAGAAAGGCCAAACGTTTGCGTTTTTACCTGTTTAGAGAGCCTGAGCTGGAGCCCTCTCCAGGCCAGCGGCCAATCAGCTGCAAGGTTTTTTGTTTTTTGTTTTTTTTCACTAAAGCCTTGTAAAGCCGGCTACAAATTAAATACCATTGTATTAAAAGAGATGGGGCTGGAGAGATGGCTCAGCAGTTAAGATGGCTCACAACCAGCTGTAAGGGATCTGATGACCTCTTCTGGCCTGAGGGTGTATGTGCAGCAGAGCATTCAGACGGTAAAAAAAAAAAAAAAAAAAAAAAAATGATGGGCGGTGGTGGTCCAGAACTTGGGAGGCAGAGGCAGGCGGATTTCTGAGTTCGAGGCCAGCCTGGTCTACAGAGTGAGTTCCAGGACAGCCAGGGCTACACAGAGAAACTTTGTCTTGAAAAACAAAAAACAAAAAAAACCCCACAAAACAAAACAAAAAAAAGATGATGAACTATCTTTTTTTAAAAGAGAGATGATCTATCCAGTGAACTAAGAGCTGGTGAGTTGAAGGATAATCAGGGATAGAAATGAAGTGACATACTGAAACACATGTGACCACCTTCCTGCCCACTGTGGGGGTCCTCGGGGAGTTTACTCAGCCTCTATCTGGCCTGCTTTAGAATCAAGAGTTCATGACCTTAAGCAAGTTTAATTTCCTTTTCTGCAAAAATGGGATGTAGTACGAATTTTGTAATGTTTTTAAACACAGAAATATTATGGGAATGTTTTCATTTTAATCCCAGACATGAGGATATAGGGTTGCTTCATATCAGGTGACTATGTGTCTTGTACTCTAGCAGAGGCATGATTTTGCCAGCAGCAGATAGTTGCTACGGTTGTGTGATGTTTGAAATTCTAAGGACTTTTCAGAGGGTATATAAATGCTAGGGCAGCCAGGCAGTTGTGGCACATGCCTTTAATCCCAGCACTTGGGAGGCAGAGGCAGGCGGATTTCTGAGTTTGAAGCCATCCTGGTCTACAAAGTGAGTTTCAGGACAGCCAGGGCTACACCGAGAAACCCTGTCTCAAAAAACCAAAATAAAATAAGATAAAATAAAATAATAAAATAAATGCTAGGGCCCCGAGAGGTGGTGTAGGTTGCTGTTGGGGGTTGGATGCTGTTGGTTGCTGCTCTTTGTGGTTTGCTTGCACATGACTATATGCAAAGAAGAAACAACAACAAGAAGAAATATAACTTTGTTTTTTAAATATTATTTTTAATGATGGTTTTTAAACATTTTAATGTCCCTTATAGCCCACCACCCACCAGAGATAGTAGGGAAAAAAAAGATATTTAAAAAGT